GTACCCTAGCATTAGCATGAGACGATCCATTATGTGTAGATCCAACATGAGAAGGTACAACATCATTTCCATGATACGCAGGTGGGATGATATGAGGGTGTGATACACTAAGGTATCAATCCAAATACCCATCCACACATTTCACAGAGTGTAACACCCCTTTTTTGTTAGATAATTTCATTTAATTTATTTATGTCTTTAGTGTGAATTATTAGATTATTATGTGTAGTAATTAAATAATTGCGAGTTATATGTCCTCGGAGTTGGGAACATTTGTTTGCTTATTATATTTTATTGGAGTTTAATTATGTATCCGGTTTATGTTGAAGTTGTTAAGAGTTGAATATGATAACTCTTTATTTTGAAAATAATTTATTATAATTTGAAGTTTGAGACTAAAGGTCTAAGTTGCAATGTTTTATTATTTGAAATAAGATTGATACCACTTTAATGATACCCTAAGTGAAGGTGAAAATGTGATAATACGTGTTGTATGTCATAAATATTTTTTGTCGCGTGTTTGTTAAATGTTTGCATTGTTAAAATATTATCGTTGGTGACACCTTAAATTATCGTGTAATGCTTAAAATATAACTTTCAGGGTTTATGGTGTTACACAGGAAACTGAGCGACCACTGCACGATCTCTAATGGCACATGCAGAACTCATAATGTTGCCACAAATTCAGCTATCAATGCCCCCATATGGAATAATAGGGATTGGTCTTGGGATGTCCTGATCATATTCATACTGGCGCAGACACCTCTCAGGTAAGTGTCTAGCCACTAACCCCTCCCATCGCAGGTAACCAGAAAAAATATAGCATACTCGATCTCTTTCTTAAGTCTATCTGCTTTATGCTCTGTGTAGGGTGTCTAGATGACATCATCTAGAGTCAGCACATCATTCCTCTTCATGTACTCCACAACACCTACCGGGTGTGCATGTCTGCTCCTCCATCTCTTGCCCCGTGGGGACTCAACAATGGTAGCAACAACTCACATGTCAGAAATGGACAAGAAATGTTCGTATATCCAACACTGCACATAATAAGAAAAACTCATATACCACCATCTCAACGTCATCCTGAGTTAGTACAGATGATGCCTGAACATCAATTGGTTCATCCTCATCACCTCTTGTCCATCTAGTAGCATTCCTAGATCTTTGACGCCTGAACGTGCGGGGTGCACGAAATTAAGTCTGATCAGGCAACAACCTTCTATAAGAGTCAGTCGGTGCCACACCCTCTGTCCCGAAAGACGAGTCCTCCACATCACCTCCCCTATCTCGACCCCGTCGTAGCAGCAACTAAATCACGCTGTCTACCGACTATCGAACCATCTGTTCCCCTGGTCTACACTACAACAAAAAAATTACATTACTACCAGAGTTTTCAAAAGATTCAAAAATTATGGACTTTCTGATTATTTCAAATATGTGGTAACGAGAAAAACAAAATAACCGAATTTTCAAAATATCCGATTTAACTTCCGAATTTTTAGAAATGACCATAAAAATCTATATATTTTTATCAGATATTTTGAAATATCCAGTATAATATATACATTTTTGTGTACTTTTCTTATATATTCGAAAATGCTCATATATTTTTACACAATTTTTTAAAAAGTATGATTAATCGTATGAGTTTTAAAAATATTTAAAAGAATAATTATTTTTACCGAAATTTTTAAAATATCTGTGAAAAAATATACAAAAAATTCCATAAAAAACCATACTCATCTTAAAGCGAAAATATCTATAATCTATCTATTTTCCAAAAGATTATTATAGTAAAAGTATAGACTCGGATAACACATTTTTCTCTTGCAAACACAAACTCGTGTACAACATCACTATTCTGTCCCTCCGTGTTCGCGAGAATTTCTCAGCTGAGTCGAATCCTTCTTTCCCTATCCTAACACATAGCCAGTGTTAAAGAACAAATTATCTCGATGAAAACAATCGATTTGGTTATGCCTAGTGAACAATTTCACAAAGAAAATTCTAGATTAAGATTCTTCCGAAGGAAACCCCTGATTCTGTCCCTTGATAATGTTACAAAACTGAAATCTACTGGTTCTAACAAATACCTTACAACTGTTTTCGAAACTTCTGGTTTGAATGGTAAATCACAACATATTGATAAAAACCCTAATGTGTATAATTCTAGTGGTGTGATAGAATCATCCCATAATAATGGTTCAAGAAATCTAGAGGAGTTAGAGAGCACTAATCATCTTCGGAAATTGGTTAAAATCGGAGAATTAGAACTAGGTTTCAGGTTTCTAGAGAGTGTTAGTTACAAAGGAGATATTCCGGATGTGCCTCATTCGCCAGTTTTGCAAGACTGGTAAAACTATGGAAACTACACGGGTTATGAAAGTTCTGGAAGATTCTGGTGCTGTTCCGGATATTTTAGCCTACAATATTTTGATTAGCGGTTTATGTAAATCGGGGAGATAGAGAAAGCTTTGGAGTTTCTGGAACGGGTGAGTGTTTCGCCTGATGTGGTTACTTACAATACAATTTTGCGTAGTTTGAAGCAAGCTATGGAGGTTTATGATAGGCAAGTGCAAAGAGAGTGTTATCCGGATGTGATTACTTTCAATGTTCTTATCAATGGTATTTGCGAGGAAGGTAAGTTGGATGAAGCGATTAGGTTTTTGAATAACATCTCATCGTATGGTTGTGAACCGAATGTGGTTACCTATAATATTATTTTGCGTAGCTTGTGTGGTACTGAAAGATGTGGGGATGCGGAGGGGTTGTTCTCCTAGTGTTGTTACTTTCAATATCTTGATTAACTTTTTGTGTCGGAAAGGATTGCTCAGTAGGGCAATGGATATCTTAGAGAAGATGCCAAAGTATGGTTGTACTCCTAATTCCTTGAGTTACAATCCATTGCTTCATGGATTTTGTCTAGAAAAGAAGATGGATAGAGCAATTGAGTATTTGAATGTAATGGTGTCTAAAGGTTGTTACCCGGATATTGTGAACTATAATACTTTGCTTACTGCTTTATGCAAAGACGGGAAGGTGGATGATGATGTTGAGTTGTTGAATCAATTGAGTAGCAAAGGATGCTCTCCGGTTGCAATTACTTATAATACAGTTATTGATGGGCTTTTGAAGATGGGGGCAACAGAGCGTGCTGTGAAACTCTTGGATGAGATGTGTCGGAAAGGTCTTAAACCCGGTGCAATTACATACACTTCGCTGATTGGGGGATTTATCCGCGAGGGAAAGGTTGACGGTGCTATCAAAATTTTCCATGACTTGGAAAGATTAGGTATTAGGGCCAGTGCTGTCAATTACAACTCAATCATGTTGGGACTTTGTAAGGCACGTCAAACTAGCCGTGCTATTGATCTTCTGGCTCATATGGTAGCAAAAGGATGCAAACCTAATGAACTTACATATACAATTCTTATTGAAGGCATTGCTTATGAAGGATTTGCTGAGGAGGCTTTGCGGTTATTGAATGAGTTGTGCGCCAGAGGACTTATATAGAAAAATTCTGCAGAAAAGGTAGTAGTAGTCAATGTGTAGAATGGATAAAATGCATTTGTTTGCCTTATACTCCTACATGTCTGTGTTATACTTTTGTGCACTTAGATTTTGTTAGATTGCTTATGTTAGCGACTTCCTGCTCTGAATCTTGTGTTGTTATTCTATTGTTACTTGGCGATGATATGCACTAGTCACGTTTCCTGTTTCTCAGTGTTTTTGAATTTCATCTTTCCAAGATATTTTAGTCTGATTATTTGACTGCTAGGCTCGCCAAATATATAACATGATTTGGTGCTTTATTGTTTCGATCGTGATAGGGAACTGGATTGGAATTAAAAGAAAAGATGGAGCACAATGAGTTATATCTTGAACAAGGAGGCTTGTGACTTGGATATGGAAGCTTCCTTCATAGTAGTGTTAACTTCAAGAAGTTGGAACTTCTCTCCGAGTTTCTCCGACCGTCTTAAACCAAGCATAGCATCTGCTTCCCTAAAGTCAAATGGAAGGAAATAATGGACCATACTTGGTATCTTCATCACCATCCCTTTTCGTACTTTTTGATTTGATTCTATCAATCTCTTTTGTACAAAATGGGCAGTGCTAGTAGCCCTTTTACTACTTTTTTTGGCTATGAAATCGAGTAACCACACTCAATCAATACGATTTTCTTTCTTTTGATCTCAATCTTCAACTGAATTTTTTGATGATATATAAGGATCTGTCCTACGTCTCATGCTTCTCTTCCTTGTTTACTATATCGTTCATCTATCATTCTCTTCAGGGAAAGGCTTATATTGATTGTGTTTTAGTTCAATTTGTTGGTACCGAATATTATCTGATATGGTTATATTGTCCCTACTGCGAGCCGATTATCAGATTTTGCCCCTATTGCGAGCCAATTGTCCAGGTGGTTGATCATTCTGAGGCATTTTGGTCTGACAAATAGTACTTTTCGAGTTTATTTCGCCGTTTCAGTGTCGACTATTTGTTATTTCATGCTGATAGATTTTGATTCTATCACAGTAATCATATTTTTTAAAACTCAAAGTTGGTGTTTAAGCAATTCTGGTACATAGAATTGGTAATCATTATGATACCGTAAGCTATATTATATGTGGACAAGTTGTATCTTGTGCGAATATGCTCTTTCAAAACTTCCAAAAGCTTGACCCAAACCTATCATAACATCAAACAAATAAATCCCTTTCTCACACCAAAAACAGATAATACCTACTAGCCATAGTAGCGCATACTTGAAGTTGAGCGAGCGAAACATTGATGTTGTATGTGGAACAAATCTTAAGAGGACAATGGTATATTCTATAAACAAAACAAAAAGGTTTTGTCTCAAGTTATATTATTCTCTACCACACACTTAAAATCCTTACAAAATATTCACAAGTTGTGAATAAAAAAAGATCCCACAAAACCTTACACACTAAGCTTTTCATTCAATGAAGCTATCTATCTCAAATTAGCCAATAATGGAAACAAGTTCATCTCCTAGAAGAAGCAAAACAAATGGAGGAGGGTTATTTTCATGTTGGAGGGGTCTCAAATTCAAGATTCCATGGAAGAGAAGAACAAACAACACTTATAAGTATGACCCTTTAAGCTATGCTCAAAATTTTGATGATGGCAATTGGGAAGAAGACGATGAAGAATCTTTAGGCCGCGGTTTCTCGGCTAGATATGCTGCACCTTCGGCTAAAACATTCAGGCAATGAAGTAAGGTATATAGATGCGCGATTGAGGTGATAATCATGATTTTAAATTGTGATTGTAATCGAGAAGATTAAAAAAATAGTCATTCGTATATATTAGATAGAATTTTTGCAAAATTTCGAGTCATTTTAATTTTCCACTTTAAATAATCACACGGTTATTGAAATTATTCATGTTGATGCACTAAATTAATGCAGAGTACATATTAATCTGCATTCTGCATCTATGTATAATGATTTTGTGCAACAAACACCAATAGGGATTGTTCTTGTTAAATGGAATAAATGACATTTCTCTTTGTTGTGAACTTAAAAACTTGTATTTGCAATTAATGTTAGCATGCCTTTAGTAAGTAGTTTGTCAATTCCTCTTATGTACTATTATGATGGGTTGAGAGTTCATTAACAAAATGAAGGATTAGAGAATGTTGTTATGCTAATACTGTGATTAAATAGACATTCTCTAAATTGAATAAATAGTGTTTAAGGAAAAACATATTATTCTTGTGATATTTGATATATGCTTTGAAATGGATCTCTATATTTCCTTATTGATGTCAACATAAGGCCACCTCATTGCTCTATCTTACTATTATATTTGTATTTTTAAATACAAATTATATGTGTTTTTATATTTGTTGTATTTTGATATTTGAGGTTGTAGTGCATTCACTAAAATATATTCAATCTTATTTGTTGCAATTAATCATTTCACATTAGTTAAAAGAAATAAAGCAATTTTACTTAATTATTCATATTAACTATTAATATATTTTAAATATCATAGATACAAAATAAAAAATAATAATTAATTAAATGATACAATTAAAAAATACACTATTAAAGTTACAATGAAAATTAAGAATGATAATTATTTGAGACAATTTTTAAAATAAATATGTTCGGAGCCGAATCAAAGGATTAAGAAGGACAAATTTTTACCAGTGTAAATATCTTCATTTTCAAGCCAAAGTAGGTAGGAGATTCTTTTTTCAAGATTTCACTTCATCTTAAATTTTCTCATAACTAACTTGAGTATCAGAGTGTTAAACTTGTAGGTCTGTCTCCTTCTCTACACCAGGGCTACAAGCATCGTCATCAACATCAAGACTTACTTATCTAATTCTCATTCCATAACAAAATATTGGCGTTTTCTGTGAGAATCGACAGTTAATTTCGGCTAAATCTCATAATTAGACCTTCCCATTCCAAACCTCCATAGATTCAACAATCACATTGAATTGAGGCAATTTCAGAGGTTCATGGACTAAGTTACTTCTCGATACTCCCTATTGATACCATTGGAGAAGGTCCATTCAATCGAACTAAACCTCTTCTGTCAACTTCGAAAGGAGACACACTTCACCTTAAGTTTTTTAAGTTGTTTGATAGTAAGAAAGCGACACGGGGTGTTCAGAGAGATTAAGAGATTAGGGTGTACTTTTCTTCTAAATGATGAGGTTGAGATTAAGATATTGCTGGGTCTTAAATCTAGAGATTGGCAGTTGAGATCTGCTAGATTATCTAGGAGTTGTATTCAATGTTGATTGGGTTTTTTAATATATGTGGCATGGGGAGCCAGATTAAAAGAAATAAAGTTAGAGAGATCTCGCCCAACAAAGCTCTCCCATCAGAGCTCTCCCAAATAGGGCTCGCCCGAACAGAGCTCTCCCACACAGGGCTCGCCCACTAGGGGCTTTCCCATATAGAGCCCATCCACATAGCTGGCTAGCATAGAGCTAGCCCACAAACATCTTCGTTCAATATGGTAAATACACATTATGACACAAAGGGGACAAGAAAACCGTTAGGATAATTACCGTGAATACTATTCATGACCTTGTACATATGATACACTATAAATAGACAAGCTCCAGGAAGGAAAAGGGACCCGCCACCTAACACACAATACATCCCAAATATATTGCGGCCTCTCCCGACCAATTTCGGGGAGGTTATCAATATTATTCTATCAAAAAAGTTGGCGGCCACCGTGGGGCCTAGTAAAACTCTCCCAGACCTCAAGTTTTGATTCCTTGTGACGATATTTGTGACGCTACCGGCGGGATGATACCTCCAGGATGACGATAATGACGTTAATATTGTCATCAATGACAATAGCAAAGGTTTTGATCAAGGAGTAATTTATACGAATATTGTCATTTATCAACCAATTCTACATTTCTAATTCATTCAAATTATTACTGTTCCATTATTAATAACATAAAATGCAAGTATGAAAATAGAGCATGCATGGCTCATCCGAACAGGGTTCACCCACAGAGGGGTCGCCCAAAGAGGGTTCGTTTACAAAGGGCTCATCCACAGAGGTCTCATCCACAAAGGGATCATCCATATATGGCTCTCCCATAAAGGGTTCGTCCGTAGAGGGCTCACCCACGAAGGTTTCATCCATAGAGGGATCGACCACGAAGAGCTAACCCGCGAACATATAAGTTAAATGATGATTTCAATGCATATATTTTTCTTGAGAGGATAGAACTGCAATGCATATTAGGTAATAATTATTTCTATAAAGGCAGTGTGCATGTTAAATGATGGGAAAATACTCATTTTAGTCCCTTAATTATAGGTCATGGTTCACTTTGGTCCCTTGTCTTTTTTTTGTGCCAAATTGGTCCCTTAAGTTTCAAAATGTAACCACGTTAGTCCTTCCGTTAATTGGCCTCCAACATCCGTTTATTTGCGTGAGGTGGCAGGTGAGCTGGCAGATTTCTTCATCTTCTTTATATGCAGAATGCATTTTTCACATTGCTGCAGAATCTCCTTCACAAAATTTTCTTAACGTTCATCATCTTTGTACCCATCATATTCTTACATACCCATCATCTTCATATTTACGTTCTCCTTTCCAAAATTTTATGTACTTTCTTCATCTTCGGCCCTTTCTCCATGAATACGAAGCATTCATCTTCCCCAATGAACCTGAATCAATCTGAAAGTGTTGGGTCATGTGTATACAGTAGCTCGCGAATTGCACCATTTTGCCATTGTGGAGACAACGCTTTTCTTTGTAGGGCAACCACTGAGAATAATTATGAAAGAAATTTTGGGTTTGTCACAATTACAAGGTAAGCCCTAATTTTGGTTTGGGTATGTTAGAAGATGGTAAACAGAGTTTGATCAATTTGTGAAATTTGCAGGGATCATTGCAAAAAGGATGTGGCTTCTTCGATTGGTTTCACGGGGAATTTGCAAAAGACATAAACCAAGTATTGAGTAATAGATTGGAAAGCATAGAAAATTATTTAGATGAAACCAAGAATCAGTAAGAAAATTGAGGGTTAGAAATGAAGAATTAGGGGATGTTGTGTTAGAACTTCAAATTCAACTGAACAAGATGTTGAAGTGGAAATAAAATTGAAGATTATGTGTTTTGTAATGTTATGTGTATTTGTCATTAAGTTGTATTAGGAGTAGAAGTATGTAGCAACTTTGTGTGTAATTTTATCGGTTTAGGAAATTTATGTGCAAGCTTATGTGTAATTTTAACACATGTTATTAGTTTAATAAGACTTATTTTGTTTGGCATATCATTAATCAAAGCATATCAGTTTGGCATATCGTTAATTGTAGAAACATAATTTTGGGCACATGTTATCAGTAAATGAACACATCAGATTACTTAAACTGAAAATACGTAGTTGGCATGTTACATAAGTATGTTCCAAAATGTATACATGTTACATAGACATGTTCCAAAAGGTTGACAGAATGACATGTTACATAGACATGCTCCAAAAGGTTGACAGAATGACACGTTATATAGACATGTTCCAAAATACATAAACCCTAAAATTATAACTAGATGGTCCTCTTTGATGTGCTTCTCTTGGTTAGAGTAAATCGCCTGGTGGTAGGACCAGTTGCATTCTTGGTTGCTGAGAGTCTTATTGTTGGTCCTGGGGGTACAAAGGGCCTTCTCACACCTAGTTTTTGTAGCTTTCCAGTTCCTCTAGCTTTCTCCTTTGTACCTTGCCCTAGTACTGCCTTTCCTTGTGAAGACTGAGTTGCATTCGTGTATCCCTGTGCAACTGATGCTTGTGTTGTTGTAACCTGACTTGCAGTGGTTTAAGATGAAAAAACTTGTCTTGTCCCAATCTGAGTTGCATTGGTACCAATGTGACTTGCATTGCCTTGCCTTGCAGTGCCTTGTGTTGCATTGCCTTTCCTTTCCTTGAATTTCCTTGAGTTACATTGCCTTGTGTTACATTGCCTTGAGTTGCATTGCCTTGTGTTGTATTGCCTTGAGTTGCATTGCCTTGCCTTGCATTGCCTTGAGTTACATTGCCATGAGTTTCATTTCCTTGAGCTGCAGTGGTTTGAGATGCAGTGCCTTGTGTTGCATTGCTTTGAGTTGCGTTGCCCTGTGTTGCATTGCCTTGAGTTGCATTGCCTTGCCTTGAGCTGCAGTGGTTTGAGATGCAATGCCTTGTGTTGCATTGATCTTGCAGGTTTTCTTGTTATGTCCAGTTTTCTTGCACCTAGAACACTTTACAATAAAACCAGTTCTTCTCAATTTTCTGTCAGTGCCATCAATCTCCCCTTGCTCAAGGTTTCTCCTTTTCTTTGATCTACCATGCATCTTTCTAAACTTAGGTGGCTGCACATCAGGATATGGAGTTTTGACCCACATATTGGATAAAGCACAAACCTATATATTGCCTTGTACCTAGATACCCTATAATAATCTGGAATGTAATCATCAACTTCAAAATTCCTACTCTTCATGGATGACATGGCATAGACACATGGAAGTCCTGTGAGTTCCCACCTTCTGCAAGAGCACAAGTAATCCTTCAAGTTCACAGTGAATGTTTTAGCTGGGTTTACCACATGCCTTACTTCAAACATATGCTCATCTGACATTCTGCAATTAATATTAACAATAATAATTAACAGTCTGTAATTAACAATTAACAGACTGTAATTAACATTAACAATAACAGACCATACCTAACAAGCCATAAGTTTGTAAAGGC